CCTTCCTCACTGAGAGTGCAGAGGAGTTGGGGGTTCCTAGTTCTAGTCACTGCTTTTGCCCTTGGTGCACCTTTTGCAAAGCAGTGTTCCTGTCAGGGTGCCATCTGGAAAGGAGAGTCCGCTATTCTCATTTTTAAAGAACAGTATACTTTTAGGGAGTTGTTCTGTTTTCTTTTTTTATCATATGGAACCCTGGAGCCTTAACTTACTATGTACAGCTTAATTATGATATGATACTGCAGTCATGAATGATGACTAATGACTTCTCTTGGACAGACGTTTACCTCTGTTCTTTGGTGGATTAAATACAATTCAGACTTAACTGCTGCTGACTACATTGTTCCTCTCTGATATTATCAGAAGAAATCTCTACCAAGTTTTCCATATGCATTTTTGTTGTGAATTAATTTTCTAATCCCTTTCAAAAGTAGTTCTTAGTACCAGAGAGGTAATTCAGACAATAGAATTCACCACACAAGCATGAAACCTCAGCTTGATTCCCCAGTATCCAAGTAAAAAGCCAGCTAAAAAACCTAAAAAAAATATTTCCAGGCATGTTGTAAGCATGTGTAGCTCCAGTTCTGGACAGGTGGAGAGAGGTAAGTCCTAGGGCTCCGCCAGCCTACCTCATCAGAACAGTTTTTTGCTAATGTTTATCTGTTGCTCAATCTGATTTTTGCTTTGTTTTCGAACTTTCTCCCAGTGGGCACAAATTCTATGTGGTTAAGTAATTTGGGGAGCTGTTAGTCACTGGATTCTCATGTATGTCTGGCCTCAGCATCAAGTCGGCCCTTTCTGTTGGAGAGAGGTGTGCCTGTCCTCTGTGAGGCCACTGTGCTCTCGGTGTTCAAAGAGTGAGTGAGTGAAGGGGAGGCCTTGCTGAGGTGAGGATCAGGTCAGATGGGAGGTGGCAGTCTCCTCCTCAGTTCCTTCCCAATGCCATTTCTCTTGTTGTGCTTCCACAGCCCATGAAAAAGCACACAGCTTTTCTTCAGACAGTCCCAATGACTATGAATAAAAGTACAGAATTTTCATGATGCACAGGGCAAGAGCTAATCCTCCACCTTTGCACATCTACAGCACTGATACTGTGAGCTGATCATGTACTCAGCACATACAGTTTTTGTTAATTTTTTGGCTGAGAGCACTGTCATAGTCTGGATGCTAACTCTAATGAATCCCTAACTAAATTTTTATTATGGAACAGGATAATCAAATCCCACATTTGTCATCTGTTAATTAGAGACTCTAAATCATTCAGCTTCTTGGAGCTTCAGGTTCTGATTTTATTTTTAAAAATAGAGAAAGGTGGGGTCGTTATTTCTGGGGATTGCTAGCTGAGTTAGCAAATAATCTTCATATCTATCACATGTGGCATGTAGTCAGTTTCGAAAAAAACATGTCATTATTAATATTATTATTTTCTGTAATATTACAAAGTCTTTAATTAGAAGAGGCAACATTGGTTTATATAATGTTTTATATATAATTTATATAATATATTAAATTTATGTTTAATATATATGAAATAAAAGGGCTAAATCAAGAAAGAAACACCATGCCAGTGTAATGAAATTCCCTTCAACTCTCAAATTCTGGGTGGAATAATGAGATAACTCTGAAGTCTGAAATACTCCAAAATAGGGCTCCTGGTAAATTCACCATGCAGTGGGTGGACCTACTGGGTATGAATACAGCCCAAGAGCTGTGAGTCTGTAACTGAGGAGGCTGTAGTCTCCCACAGCATTGGCCAAGGTGACCCAGGTGTAATCTCAGGGAGTCAGTCTCGAAAATGATTGCAAATTAGTAAACTGAAACCCAATCAATTGAATTGTGTCGTGTGTGGAGAAAGCCAGTGTGTACAGATTGGGGATGGTCAACCAGAGACCAGCCTAGGACAGCTCAAGGACTCAGAGCTGTTACTTTGTGTGCAGCAATGTCCAGGGAAGACAGTGACCACATGGTGATACACCAGCTTCCAGCCAGGAGGAGCTGCTCTCTGCCAGTAGGACATCAGAGAGTGTGTTCACACACAAATGTGTTAATATTTGGGAATCCATTCTTGGTTTCACAGGCTGGTCATTCCATTTCATATCCTGGGTCCTGAGAAAAAGAATTTCAGAATGGTGCCATTTGCTGAACAAAGCTGGGATGTGAAAACAGAAATGACCAGCAGTGATAGAAGTTCTGTGGATGCCATCAGTGTTAGTCGGAGCATAAGCAGAGTAAATGATTAACTACTAGGTTGTGTGGCACACAACTGGGAATCAACATTTCTCAGATGCAGATGACTCTAGGTACATCTTTCTCTATTGCTGGTATAAACCAGTTATATTTACCAATGTGGCTGTTTGTTTTAGACATCATCTTTCTATAACCTAGAATTTCAGGAAAGACAGTTTCATTCAGGATGTACATTGGGTTGGACTAGGGGTATTGTCATAATTGATGTAAGGAGAACAAGTTCACTACGGAAAACACCATTCCTGGGGGAGGAATCCTGAATTCTTTTTATTGTTTAAAGTTTCCAGATAAAAATCATTCCTGATAATATGAATTACACTACTGAACCACATATAAATTTTCCTGTGGTTCTGGAAGAGCCTTTTTATACTTAGCATGCTTTTTATATATGCTAATATGCCGACCCAGGGGCAACAAGTAGATGTGGACAAGATGTCATGGAGTCTAAGGGGGGCCCGAGTCAGCATAATGGACAGACTTCAGAACCCAGCATGTGTAGCTGAAAAGCAAAAATGGGATGGAGTAGCTTGACACAGCATGTCCTGGTTTCTTCAGGGGAGAGTCTGGATTTTGTCTTTACTTCACTGGGTGTTTGAGTTCTACTTTACAATCTTTACTTGTGAACACTTTTGAACAAAAAGGCAAATCTATTCTTTCTGTGTGTGTAACATGCATAAGTGTGATTTTTAGCTGAAGCAAAGCTTTATCATTTGAATGACTTCTAAACAAAAGCACTCAAATTACAGATATTATATTATGTATTTCTTTATATTTTTAATGGGGCTGTATGGGAAGGGTTCAGATGAATATTTGGTTCCTTTATAACCTAGATAAATTATTAAGGGTTTTTCTCCAAATCTCATGAGCTCAATTCTAAATCTTAAAATTGAATTTTCCACATGTGCTATATAGCAAGAAATCTCCAATCCAGGATCATAGCTGGATGCCTATGAAATAAGTTGTCTTGCCCGAGGCCACAGAGTAGTTCAGGGACAAAGAAGAAAACTAAAGTGTCAGTCAGACCGATTCTGAGAATTTAATACAGACCAGACACTGTACCCAGCAGCTGTGAATCTTACTTAATCCTCTGCAAGCTGCTATTCAGATGTGCACTCAACACACCAAGTGTTTCCTAAAGGACATCACTCACCCAAACTACTAATGTGTGTCCTTAAACACAAGACAGATACCAGGGAGGCAAAACCATGACTTGGTTCCTGACCTTTCTATCATGTGATCCTGGGCAACAACTCAGTGCCTCCAAGCCACTTTCAACATTTGTAAACGGACATAGTGATGTACACTTCAGAGAAGAATTGTGGGGGCAAAGATTACACCTATCATTAATGAATTTCATTCTGGAAGTATTTGCACAGTCAATGGAAATTTATTTATTTGAGTTGAATTTGTACTATTATTTTTCAAACATTGTTTTTATTTAATTTTGAAAATGTCATATATGAACACTATGTACTTGGATGGCATCCATCCTCTATAGTACATTTTCTAGCTCCCCCTGGTATGTGTACGGGTATGTATACATATGTATGTGTATTTTTATTTGTGTCTAGGCTGGTGCATGTGTATGTGTATAAGTGCACATGTGGTGGCCAGAAACCAGCTTTTGTTGTGGGTACTGTAGAGTACATCTTATTTTTTGAGGCAAGGTCTCTTATTGGCCTGGACCTCACCAATTCAGCTAGGTTGGCTGGCAAGCAGGCCCCAGAGATCTGCCTGTCTCCACTTAACCAGGCTTATGATTACAATCAAGTGCAACAAGGGCAGGTTCTCTTGTGTAGGTTCATAAGATCCAGATTCGGGTCTCTATGCCCATACACCAAGCAGATCAGACTGTCTAAGTTATCTGCACAGCTCCACAATGCCAGATTCTTACTTCCAATTTTATGCTCTGCCTAGTGGTACCATCATCACCTTGATTCTGAAAGACAGCTTAAAAAGAAGGAAACATTGGCTTCCCCTATTCTTTTTAAATTTTCTTATTAAAAGAAAACTAGGGGCTGAAGAGATGGCTCAGAGGTTAAGAGCACTGACTGTTCTTCCAGAGGTCCTGAGTTCAATACCAGCACCCACATGGTGGCTCACAACCATCTATGAGATCTGGCACCCTCTTCTGTATACATAATAAATAAATAAAACTTTAAAAAAAAGAAAACTAGGAACTTTCTTATTTGCATAATTAACAAGAACAAAGCCAGAGCCATTAACCAGCAAGGTCTTTCTAAAGAACAAAGCAAAAAACAACCAATAACTATAAAGATTCATTTTAACACAACTTAAAAGGTGATAAGGAACATTCAAGCCTGATTAAAAGCTGTTGGCAGGTGGTTCAGCCAAGTCCTGTGAGTGATTTTTGAGAGGGAATTGTGGTATCCATTTTCAAATTAGGTCCTTAGATAGCAGATCTTCTTTTATAGGAAAGAGAAGTGATGTTTAATGTCACATTAACACTGCAGTGAGCCTTTGGGTCCTCTTGGCCACAATCAGCAGAATGAACTTGGTAAACTACCTGTGCTCCTGCAGGCACATTTAGGGAAGACATAAAATCCAGTGGTGTTTGGAAGCAGGCCATGGGTTCTGTAATTGGTATTCCAACAATTCGCATAGGCCTGGAGATGAAAGGCCTTCTGTTATGCTCCTCCTAACCCTAGGCAGGCTGCATCCAATCCAAGTGTCTTTACACAGATTCCCTAGATAATCTACATTTTATCCTTCTTTTTCCCCCCTTAAATTTATGTTTTTCAGGACAAAGGATACTGGTTTTCTTTCCTTCAAAGATCACTTGCCTGTAACTCAGATCATTATCACTGATACCAACAGATCAAACTCAGAAGCTGCTTGGAGAATTGGCCCTTTGCGTTGCTATGGTGACCGTGAGTACAACAACCCCCTTTCTCTGAATTACATGAACATAAGTCTTTTTGGTTTCTTTATCCCTTTTCCCTTCAGTGGCCTCCTAGTGTTGAAAATTCCACCCAAGCCCATTGCTTTCCTGTACCCAGTGGAAGCACACACCCACGCTGAAGGACTCTCTGCTTCGCAGGACACTACTGGAATGCCGTTGCCTTTTCTACTGAAGCTTCTTACCTCCACTTTCCTACCTTCCATGCGGAATTCAGCGCTGACATTTCCTTCTTTTTTAAAACCACCGCTTTATCTGGAGTTTTCCTAGAGAACCTTGGAATGAAAGACTTCATCCGACTTGAAATGAGCTGTAAGTGCCTTTGTTTATGAGTTCAATGTCAGTGGTCCACAGAGAAGGCTTCACTTTATCTTTGCCACCAGCCACCAGTACATACTATTAATGTTGAGCCAATGTAACCATTATCAGTAAAACTAGCACTGAAACTGTCAAATCTCTGCAAATTTGTTATGATTAATTATATTCTGTCAGCATTTGTCGGGTGGTTCTTCTGGATATGTGCATTCCAAAAGTATCTGTGTGTTACTATTGCCAACTCCATTCTCTATTAAGGCATGGCTATCTCTTACCTGTCCCTTTAAGTTTCCACACCTCAGGATTGCACTCTATGGGAAGCAAGGGTTCTCTTGATATTTGGGATCCACTTAACAATTGTATCCATGCTTCAGAAGTCATTTTTTATGTGCCGAGAAGACAGCTCAATCAGTAAAGAACCTGTGTGCAAGCATGAGGAGCTGAGTTCAGTTCCCCAGAACCCAAGTAACATAGCCAGGCATTCCCACGCCAGAAGAGGCACAGACAGGTGGAGCCCTGCAGCTCCTCCAGCAGAATTGCTGAGCTCTGGGTTCAGTGAGAGACTCTGTTCCACAAATGAGGTGGAGAATAATTGAGGAGGAACTTGGACATCCACCTCTGGCATGCCTGAGCACATCCTGACCAAGTAACTAACATACATACACACACACACACACACACACACACACACACACACACACACACACACACAATTTCTTATCTTTCACCAATAGGAGAGTATAACTAGTCAATGATAATTCATGCCGAATTTCCACTTCTTTCTTACCAGTAGCACTGTATGTGTGGGGTTAGATGCACAATCTATACTTTTGGAATAGCCCTGCCCCCTATCTGTGGGATCTGTGCATTAATGATCATTAAGCCAAATGGACACAAGAGAAATATGGATGGAAAGACATTCTGCTGAAGGACAATGCATATCAGCATGCTAATAAGAATACATGAAAGCACAAAAGAAGAAAGAAATATAATGATTAATTAATTTTTATGAAAATAGAAAAACAACATTGTTTTAGTCTATTTCAGTAATAATAACTTCAAAAGTCTGTCCTTAAATTTGATTTTCTGCAAAGTTGTCAATGACTTCACTAAAGTTAATTTCCTGTACTTGTTTTTGTTCAAATGAAACTATATATTGTATTAGCGTATTTATCTTCTATTACATTTAAAAGAGAATATTTTTATTCATTTTCAATGAGATTGTTTTTCATATAAACTCAAATATTCAGAAGGTTTGGGAAGATTTTCAACAAAAGTGACAAGTTTGGTAAAGTAAATCATTTTTTTAAACTCCAATAATTATAACACTCTCCATATCTTTTTCTTTTAACCAGAATCAATTCTAGAGATTTCAAAATATCCAAGTAATCAAAAATCTTTGCAGCATTCATGAGAATTCACCATAGATTTTGCTCCTGTTAGGGAGAGACTGAACCAAACTGTCAAGGGTTTGCAGTAACTTGAGCTCTTCTGCTTCTTGTGCTGCCACTTGTGTTACTCTGTGTACATTTATGTTACATCAGAGGGGGAAGTGAACACACAGTGAAAAACTCTGTCTCAGAAAACAAGGCTTGGAGGAAATCCTGAGGAATGACACCAATAATCTCCCCTAGCCTCTCCATGCAGGGGCACACACGTGCTTCTGGGATCTTTAGACTAAGTGGTCTCCACTACCTGTACCCTGCCTTGCTCTTACTCTGCTCATGACCACAGCTTGCTTGAGCTTGTCCTTGAACATCACTCTACCTTGTCTAATTGGACATTTTCCGATAGTTTGAGTGAGGTGATTGACCATGTCACAGTGATTTAACTTCATGAGATACCCTTGAAAGCTAAGCAAACATCTTATCCTCAGATATTGAAAATTTGAGAGTTCCCCACAAGGAAAGTACATTTGCAGAAGGGCAGAGTGGAGGTTTTGTGTATGTCTCCAGCACATGGGTGAGCTGCTAAGTGTTTCTTTTGCAGTTGCAGACTGCACATGGGAAAAGGGAGTGTCTCCATGTTACTTTTCACTTATTGTCCCAGGACACACACTACTAATGGGGGAAGCTTTTGTGGTTTTGGTGTAAAATAAAAATCCTTCATAACTAATTTGCTCCGACTCTGCAAAGCAGGTAGAATACCAACCATTCCATAGTGTGGACATAATAACCTCAATGTAAAATTTAATAAAAAAAAATCAGGCCCTGAAGCCTTTTCATTCATTAATCCCACAGTCAATATTATGGTAATTATCACAAGATAATCATCAGTGATTGAGTGTTAATTACAGATCAGTGTCCAATTTGTTTGTACTTTGTAGCACTGCACTGTGCCCTTTGGGCAGTACATTTTTTTTTAATTCAATTTAGTATTAAATTTATAAAAACACAGAAATAAAACCTGTAATATAATTGTTTGATGTTTACTGTCATTATACTGCCAAATATTGCTTTCTAAAACACAAGCATTTTGTATTAAATATTTTTAAGTGTTAGACCTGAGAATGTGGATGTAGTTCAGTAACAAAGAGGACTAGCTAGCACAAACAAGACCCCAAGTTCAGTCCCTACCAATAGAAACTAAATAAATACATAAATATAAAGTCAGCAAAATATAAGTCCTCATATTTCCTAAAGTTATTAATATTATTGTTGTTGCTACTGCTATGAAGGGGAAAACTGTAACAAAATATCAAAAACCTTACTCTTCATAGCTACAGATCCAGTAACATTACTCATTTAAGCAGATGGACTTTCCATGCTAAAGAGTTCACAGCAAGAAACCATGTAGACCAGCCCCTTGGAAAGGAAAGGTCCTTTAACAGATGCACTGACTCAGAGGAGACACAGTCCCATCCCTAGAGAGTTCTCCTCTTGGCTATCCAAACAGCAAGGTTGATATGTCCATTGGTAGTAAGTTGTCTAGCACAGAAGAGTACTATCCACATCTCTGATCTGGGCTAGGAGTTGAGGACACATGAATGCCTCTTTGTTAAGCTTTGAGCTGAGTAATGGAAAGACAGTGGAGAGTAGACACCAAAGGATTCCCTGTAGGGTACAGTGACACATTCTTGCAGTAGAGGTTGGGGAGAACATTTAGTGGCCTTTTCTAGGCTTCTTTGATCTTTGGAACCCTTGTGAGGCATTCCTCCTCTATAAGCTCTTCCTTTGACAATCTTCCCTCAACAGAGTGGTAAGTTCATGTGGTTTCTTTCATCTCTTAACTCCCCAGGAACTTGATCCGGCTTGATGAATACCATCCAAAGGCCCCTTAGATTTGTCTTGAACAATAAAGGAGTAAACAATGAGAAAATATCGATCATTTAAGAGGAATATTTAAGTGAGACATTTAAGTGGGACATTTATGATAGTATGAGAGTGTTACTGCATCCCAGTTTCCTATCCAGGGCCATGAGAATATGTGATTGCCTCTGTGCCATGCCACAAAGTCTGGAGGCAAGCCCATGTTGGCTTATGGTACCATCTGTTCATTCCTACTTTTTATATTCAACTGCATCTAGTTATCTCTATTATATATTCTAGCCATGATAGCCATGGGAGACTACATAGACTACAGGGTATTTGAGGTTGGAGGCAAGAGTTAAACATACAATCTCTACCCATGGCCACACAGATACCCAGGGTCAAGGCCACAAACTCTGGCCATGTTCATGTCTGAAATCCATGGTGCCACCAGAGCCATACCAATCTGGGTACTCTGTACTGCCACATGGGGCCATGGTGTCATCCAGGCTTGCATTGCTGCCAAGGGCCATGTCTAGATCCATATTCCTACTGAAGCTGGGGTCTGTGATCATGTCCACGGCCCATGTTGCCACAGGGGTTCATAGGAATAATGTATGTTGAAATATGAGGGTCATGTTGAGCTGACCCTGCCCCTCATTTGCTCTAGGGTAGCTGACCCTGCCTCTTTCTAGACACTACAACAAGAGAGCTGGTCTCACACACTTGGGAGAGCTGATCCCTTTTCTCACCATGGGCATAAAAGAGCTGGCCCCAATAACATGGGCCTATGAGAATGGGCTCTGCATTGTGGCTGGGGGGGGGGGTAGTGGTGGTCCCAGTGGCCCAGATCAAACAGTTCAGCTGCCACTCAGACCCACATCCTAGGCCTCAGGTTGGCCCAACCTAAGATGTACCCTATCTGTGACCTTCTGGAGTGCAGTAAAGGGACTGGTCCTGTGGAACTATATTCATAAGACCTCCATGACTTGGGGCAACAGGAGGATATCCAAGAGGTTTCGGTGAGAATCTAGTGATGCTAGTGTGCCAGAGGCCTTGAACTAGACCAATGAATCATTGCAATGAATGTTTTGTGGGTGGGGTTGAACAGACAAAAGAAGCACCCAGTGCCACTATGATGAATGAAGAAGTATTGGAAAGATGGAGGATCTAGTTATGTTTGCTGTTGTTTTGTTTTTAATTGATTGTGAGGGAGGATTTCTTTTGTGGGGAGGCTACAGGAGTGAGGGAAGGGCATGGAGGGACTGGGAGGTAAGTGGGACTGGAGAGCATGATGTGAAATTCCCAAAGAATCGATAAAGAATTATGTTATGAAAAAAAAAATGAAAGCTCTATAAGCATATTACCAGGATTTAAATCTTAGTTTTAGCCACTGTGCTAAATACTCCTGAAGAAAATACTTCTGTCTAACAAGTTTGTATTGAGGCCTTACTGAATTCAGTGACAGAAAATGCTATGCAATATGTCTGGCTTGTGTGATGCCCTTAATAAATATGAATGTTACTGCTAGTACTATTTTACTGATTCTTTAATGTCCAGAAGGAATGGTTTAAATATTATTTAACACAGGATGGAGGGCTGGAGTAAGTGAGCTTGCTCTACCCAAGCACAATGTTAGCACCTGGGTCTGTGATAAGTAAAAGTTTTTCTACAATAGTGTTTCTCAACATTTCTAATGCTTTGGCCCTTTAATGCAGTTCTCCTGTTATGGTGACCCTGAACCACAAAATTATTTTCCTTGCTACTCCATAACTGTAATTTTACTACTCTTATGAATCATAATGTAAATATTTGATATGCTGGATATCTGATGTGTGACCCTTGTGAAAGGGTCATTCAACCCCCAAAGGGGTCATGACCCACAAGTTGAGAACCACTGCTCTACAGCTTGCAGACTATTTGAAGAGACAGTCAGATTGTATGGTACAGGTGATGCATGGTATAGCTATGGTCAGTAGAGACAAGAAGCCCAATTTGGTGAAAGAATTGGGCAAGGACAGCAGAGCATCAAGTCTCCTAAAAAGGCATGCTGTCTGATGGTAACCTAATACTTTTAAACTAACCATGCAGTGAGAATTTTACCAAAATATTTAATATTTCTCCTACATATTCCCATGAATCTTTGTCCTGTATACATAGAGAATGATATGTGTGAAAGCCAGTCAACTCTCAATAAATGTTTGATTTTGACATGAGCAGATTTTCAAGATGGAACTAGTGATGTAAATAAGAAATATATATGGGCAGTGGTAGTATATGCCTCTAATCCTAGTACTGGGGAGTCAAAAGCAGGTGGATCTCTGTGAGCCTGGTCTACAAAACAAGGTCCAGGACAACCAGGGCTACACAGAGAAACACTGTATGGACAAACAACCAAAAAAGAAAAAGAAAGAAAGAAAGAGAGAGAGAGAAAGAGAGAAGAGAAGAGAAGAAGAAGAAGAAGAAGAAGAAGAAGAAGAAGAAGAAGAAGAAGAAGAAGAAGAAGAAGAAGAAGAAGAAGAAGAAGAAGAAGAAACTGAGGCTAAAGAGAGGGCTCAATGGCTAATTGCACTTGCTATTCTTACAGAAGATCCATGTTCAGTTAACAGCACCTCTGTGGTCATTCCAGCCATGTATAATGACAGTTTCAGGGGATCCATCACCCTTTCTGGCTTCTTTCCCTATCAGACATGCATGTGGTGTATAGACATACAATTAGGTAAAGCATATATATAAAATAAATATATATCTAAAGCAATTAAAACAGAAGCAGAAAAGAGAAACCAGGTCAGGGAGAATGAATGATTTAGCTATCAAGTGGAGCATGAGGACCCTCAGAGCACACATTAAAAAATCAGGTGTGGTGGCATATGCTTGAAATCCCACTATTGAGAGAAAGATCTAGATTCCCTGAATCTGGCTTGTTAGTCAGCCTAGCCCCATCAGTCAGCACCATTACAATCTCTGGCCTCTGAGGTATTATGACCATGCTCTCCAGCATCCCTCTTCCAGATTCCATCCCTACTGTCACCAATACATCACCACAGTCACCATGAGTATCATCACCATCACCAGGACCAGCACCATTGCTATCTTCATTATGACCATCATTTTAATATCATCAGTATTATTGTTAGTGGATGGCTGCCAATTGATTTCCATAATATATTGTTAAAAGAGATGGAGAGAGTCCTGGATAGTAACTAACATGGAGGGTTCTGAGTAATTTAAGGCTGTGCCATTTTCAATGTTATTGCCCTGGACAAGCAACTGACATTTTCAAAGTCATCTTAATATTTTAAGATACATTTTTATTTATGTGTATATGTCTATGTGGGTATTTACACATGTATCCAGGTACCTCTGGAGGCCAGAGAACAATCATATCCCTGGAGCTGGAGTTTTGGGCAGTTATGGGCTACCCCATCTGAACATTAGGAAACTGAGCTCTGATTCTCTGCAAGAGCGGCAAGTGCTCTTACCTGTTGAGCCTTTTCTCCAGCCTGATTTCGGGATTTTTGGATATTGAAATATGAGTGCTTGAATCACAGGCATTGACTAAATATCCTGGCAAATGGTACTGTTGTTCTAAGGACATAGGTCTCCTTTCTATAGCTTGGAGATACTTAGCCAACCACTTGTGTACAGTAGAACATAGGTAAAACCACGGTAGACCAAGAAAACCCAGAGCTTCAGCAGAGATTAATTGGCACAGGTCCCTGCTTCTTGTATTGAACAACTAGGAATGACTGATGTGGGCAGGGTGTAGAAGACATACATTCTTAGTTTTTAGCAGTTGATACTGCTGATGGTGATCCCAGTGTTCCCAGGAATTCAGAGATGTCCTCTCCACATTGTCAGAGACTTATAATTCCTTTCCCTAAACATCCTGAACATGCCTGTGTCTGTAACACACTGACAATGGCCTCCAACCTTCTTTCTTGTTTGGCTGCAGCTGCTTCTGAGGTCACATTCGCCATTGATGTTGGGAACGGCCCTGTCGAGCTCCTTGTCCAGTCTCCTTCTCCTCTGAATGACAACCAATGGCATTATATCCGGGCTGAGAGGAACCTCAAGGAGACCTCCCTGCAGGTGGATAACCTTCCACAGAGTACAAGGGAGACCTCAGAGGAAGGCCATTTCCGGCTTCAGCTGAATAGTCAGTTGTTTGTAGGTAGGATATATCATACTGCATACTTTGTGCTAAACACCTACAAGATAGCTATGTACCCTAGCTCAAGGAAAATTCTTAATATTTTTATAGCTATAAAATGAAATATGTTATTATTTTTTACTCTTAAATTTTATAAATTTATAAATTTATTCTAGCTTCATAGATCATCACAATAAAGTTTATGCTACTCCTTCACAAACTTAGGGGCTATCTCAGACTGTTTTGGTACTATTTCTCCTTGTGTATGTTATTTTCAGACATCTATAGAATTTTATGTTTTGGGTCATTGTAATAAAAATTTACAGCACAGGCATAGAGATTCCAGTCCATCACGCTTCTTAGCAATTCCCAACTCCTGATAAATATTGTTAAAAGTGTGATCAAATAGTTTAACTAAACTAAAGAACTTCAGTTTCAGGAGTAAAAATTATGGAGTGCTGCCGGTTTCATGTCAACATGGCACTAGCTAGAGACACTTGAAAGAGGGACTCTCAATTGAGAAAATGTCTCCATATATTTTGCCTATAAGGGAGTCTGTAGAGCCTTTACTTAATTAGTGATTTATGTGAGGGGTACCAGCTATTGTTCATAGTTCCATCGGTGGGCTGGTGGTCCTGGATTCTATAAGACATCAAGCTGAGCAGGCCATGTAAGGCACAGCAGTATGCAGCCCCTCCATGGCTTCTAAATCAGCTCCTGCTTTCAGGTTCTTGCCCTGCTTGATGTCTTCCCATGACTTCCTTTGATAATGGACTGTGATATTCAAGTATAAGCAAAATAAGCCTTGTCCTCTCCATGTTGCTTTTGGTCACAGCAACAGAAACCCTAGCTAATGTAAGATGGTACTCACTCCCTCAGTGAAACTCAGCATTAGCACCAATATTATCTCTGAATAGGTTGCCACTGACAGTGGTGAGAGTGGAGAGATTCAGAAGTCATGGAATGAATTTGTTCCTTCTTTTATTTCACTATCTCGTCCTCCATTCTTCCTCCCTCATTTCACCCATCAATAGTCACAGAGGTGCTAACTCTATTCGGGCACCATTGTGAGATAGTGCGGATAGAATATGAACTAAGAAAAGTCACTGCTTTTCAAGGTGCTGGTGTGTGGGTGGGGGCATGTGTGTGACAGTGGGTGTGAATTGTGTGTGCATGTATATGTGTATGTATGTATGTGTATGAGTGTGTGTCATGCAGTATGTATGTGTATAGAGAGAAAGAGGGGGACAGACAGACAGACAGATGGAGAGGGAGAGGAGGGGGAATATTTTAGATATGCTAGTCTAGTACTGATTTTGTTTTTGCACTGTTTTCTATCAACATTCACACTGTATAGCTCACAACCAGCTATGTATAGCTCCTTGTGTATGTTATTTTCAGACATCTATAGAATTTTATGTTTTGGGTCATTGTAATAAAAATTTACAGCACAGGCATAGAGATTCCAGTCCATCACGCTTCTTAGCAATTCCCAACTCCTGATAAATATTGTTAAAAGTGTGATCAAATAGTTTAACTAAACTAAAGAACTTCAGTTTCAGGAGTAAAAATTATGGAGTGCTGCCGGTTTCATGTCAACATGGCACTAGCTAGAGACACTTGAAAGAGGGACTCTCAATTGAGCCCTCCATGTATATTTCTTATTTGCTTTCTTTATATGTGGGCTAATGTAATTTTTAAATCTGAAAATATTACCACTTAAAACATTATTGCTTAAGGAAAAGAGATACTAGAATTTGAGATCATCAGACTTTGATTTCATCATCCACCATACATGTATCTTCATTAACTGTGTTTTATACATCCAGCAGAATCTAATATCAAGTGATTTAAAAACCTTCTTATGATTATAAGTCTTTTCCTTAATTAATAACTCCTGTAAGTAATATGATTTACTGCTGAAAGAATTTAAATTTATTTTGCTGTTTTAGTTCTATTTAAACATCACATTTTATTTCTTGGAGGAGTTTGCTACTCATCAAGATTTAATATCTTCTTTTTGGTGGAATCAGTTCAAGTATTTTACAATTTTCATAAATTATACTCCATGTGAAAGTCTAATTTATCTTCAGGCAGTATTTATGAATCTTTCTAGTTGAAGCAGGATCTAAAGATGGAGGATTGGCTTTTTACACAATCAAAGCTCCCCAACTATCACAAGAATAGAGACGAGGTGAACTTTGTGTAATTTAAAATGGAAGAGGCAGCAGTCTTTTGTGACAAATTTTATCACCACACATTTAAAATGGTCACAAATTCAGTGAGTTATGCAAGCATGTGAATAGCACTGGATGAAGCATCTTGATAGAGTTGTAGCCCAGGTCAGTCGAGGAGCAAGCTCACTTCTGTTATGCTTCTCTCCAGTGAGTCCCATTTCAGAAATTACTGTGCTTTACTGAATTTAACTTCATGAAATTGAAAAAGGGGAAACATTCTGTTATAGGTCATATTTGTCTGTTGATTTATGCCTCACTCTTTAGCATTCAGTGACAGGTATGTTGGCAAAGGTCATCGGGCCAAAGGCAGTTGAAGACCCAACATTCCATTTTTTGTGTAATTCATGGTCAGTGAATGAATGAATGAAAGTTTTGCTTAGTCACTGCCCTAGTTTCCTGTCTAGTTGCTGTGATGAAATTTTCTAACAGAAGCAACAGGAAAGAAAGGCCTCATTCAGTTTATAGTTCTAGGTTAGAATCCATCACTAAGAAAGAAGAGGCAAGAACCTGAAGTAACTCTTTACATCCATAGTCAAGTACAGAGAGAATGAATACATGCATGTTTATTCTCAGTTTAGCTCCTCCTCTTTTATATAGTCTAGGACCTAAAACCAAAGGATAGTACCACCTACTTTTATGTTAGGTCCTAACACAGGAATTAACTTAATCAAGATTATCCCTCAAAGACATGCCCACAGTCCACTCCAATAAAAAATTCCCTCATTGTGAATCATTTAACAGGTGATTCTGTATTGTATTAAATTGGCAAAATTAACCATCATAGTTATATTAGCCTAAATAAAGAACTGTGTCCTCCATCACTCAGAAATGTGGAGACATTAGATGCTTATCTATGGCAGGTACCAAAGGATGCCATTATTGGAGTGTGTGTCTTGATTGGGATAGATTGAGTATGACATCATTTAAGTATCAATATGGATATGCCTGTCCATATACCTTTAGCCATGGGAGGATTTTTAAATCAAACTAGAGTCGCCAGCAGGATTTTGATCACGGGATCTCTTCTGTGATCATGAGTACTTTCTGTGTACCAGACACAGGCTGCATCCTTTAAAACAGGACATACTTCTGGCACTGCCCTGGTTATTTCATTGTGACAGCATAAAAAGTGTTGATCAGTGACTCATTGTTGGATAGATTTCCAGAATCAATATTGTAACTCAACACTGTTTGTCACAATGATAGTTAGGGATATTTGCAACAAAGCTATGTTGCCCAGTGCATTGATTGAGCAGAAGATAAGAAATTTTATAGGATGTAGCTTTAAAAATGTGATATATAGCTGAGGTACAGTCTCACCATTTGTGAGTTTTATGTATGTATATATGTGCGTGGTTTGAATGCATGTTTGCACATGCATGAGCATATTTGTTTGTGGTCATATGTATAAATGTAGAGGCAAGAGGTTGATATAAAAATATTCCTTGATAGCTTTCTACTTCATTTCTGAGTGAAGGTGTTTTGCTGAAGCCCTGCTTTGGCTGATGTGGGAAAGCCAGCCGCCCCCTTGAGCATGCTGCCTTTGTCTCCCAAGTGATGGGATTACAAGTGCCACCAAAACACACCTCCCAGCTGTTGTGTGAGTGCTGGAGGTCTGAACTTCTGTACTCATCCACATGCTGTTAGTATTCTGGATGAGACCTTGGTAGAGAAATAGCTGGCATAAATATGTGATTGTCCTTTGCCATAGAATGGAAATGAAGTTCAGGACTGACAGAACCACTCCCTGCATGTCTCATGCCTGAGTGCATAGCACAGCAAAGGAAGAGTCTCACTTTTCCCACTTGGGTGTGGCATCTTCCCATGTCTGCTGCAGATATACAGCAGACATTTGTGTAGATGAGCCCATGAGCCTCGCTTTCTGTTGGTACCTCCTTTGCCTCTTTCTTTCGTTTGTACACATGCTTGATGCAGCTGGTCACATTGCAACCCTAGTCAGGAAGCAGAGGCAATGTATGCTGGTGCTTAGCTCTCTGTCTCTGTCCCTGTTTCTGTCTTTCCCTCCCTTCCTTCCTCCCCCCTCCCTCCTTTTTTTTATTCAGTCCAGGAAAACAGCCAATGGAATGGTGCCACCGACATTTAGGGTGGGTCTTCCCACCTCAATTGATCTGAAATAGAAACTCCCTCATATACATGCCTGAGACGTGTCTCTTATGGAATTCTAGATCCGTCACATTAATGATTAAGCTTTCCATGACAGATGTTAAGCTTCTGTAGGCTATTGACTGGCTTTAGGCACAGTAGTTCACATAGGAATTAAATGGCTGAATCCTCAAGCAAGGAAGAAAAGAGGGGAGGAAAGAAAGGAGTAGGGTGAAGTAAGAAGGGAAAAGGAGAGAGAAAGAGATATGATCAGATGAAGCATAAAAACAGGAAAACATTAACATAATAATTTTTGTTAAATCAGAGCTGTTTGGCCCACTCAGTGCTGGCACTGAAGGAGGTAAAGAGGAGAACTTGGGAAAATGGAGACTCCTGTGCTTGTGCAGGGTTGGAGAGGGCACATACATAAGGCACTTCTTTGGAGACAGGGAAGATTTCTCAAGTGCTTTTCTAAGTCAGGTTTAGCATTCTGAGCTACAAGAACTGATTCACACTTAATCCAAGGAACCACCATCCTAATGAACTCACCTGATACCAGGGCCAACTGAGATATGATATACCAAATTGCTTCTCAATACACCATCTAATCAATACTCTTTGTTGTCAGAAAGATTGATGTCATGCACTAAAAGGATAAATGGGTGTGTATGTGCTTCTTGG